CAGCAGCAAGAGGTTCCAACGCCATGCACCAGCATTGCTCAGGCAGTGGAGAGCAAGGGCTCCTCTCTGAGTTATGGGCTCTAGATCTAAACTTACTCCTTAAGTTCTCCGATGTTGTTGATGTTGGCATCTCCCATGGCCACCAGCTCCTGCGTCTTGTCATGACTGTACTGCACAACACCAACACGTGACTCTCCGGGGTCAAACTGTTGAAAGAAAAGTTAGATGTACTTAGGAAACCAACACATTACTGTAAGTGAGCAAACCAAGGATGGTTGGTAGAGCCGGGGGCACCGTGATGTTGTGGTCCAGACTGGTCCTGGCCAGTGTTCCCTCTAAGCTGAGTGTGAGCCAGCTTACAGTTTTTTAGCCTCCGGCTCACACATTTTTGTCTTAGCTCAGGAAGGACAGCTCCAGGGCAAACTGATTTATGCAGGAGCCAAATCGTTTGCTCACAACTTGAATGCCAGGAGCTCATCAAGTAGAATTTTTTGCTCACAAGACTCCACAGCTTAGAGGGAACATTGGTCCTGGCAGCTATGTCTTTAAATTATACGAATCATCTGGGAAGACAATTTCTATTTCAGGCCTTTCGCCTACTCGAAGGGCCAGGCAGAATCTTTTCCTGGGATGGACAAGAGTAACTGTGGGGAGATGTGGCTGACGGGGAGCCTTACCCTCACGTGTTCATCGCCGCTCAGCCTGTCAATGACCTTTATGATGAAATCCTTCGCAATCTGGAAGTTCTGCAGGCCAATGCTCTCGGAACTGTCCAGGACGAAGAGAACGTCGACGGGGCCGCACTTGCATTCTGAAAAAAAAGCACCGTATACAGAAACGGGTCGGGGAAAACTTTGGTCTCGCTCAGATCCAGATGTTAACAGCGGCAGTGGCACTACCGGTTAAAACAGTCCAGTCTTCTTGCTGATCTAAGCCACAGCTCATACATCGCGCCAAATCATGGCTTGTGCTAAACAGAGTCTAAGATTCTAAATGGACAGGCAAAACTGTGGTTCGGAGCAACTCATCCAAGTGCAGTGAGGTCTCCAGGAGGGGAGTAACAGCCATCCTATGGCTTGGATCCCACAGAGGGTATTTTGGGCTGCAATGGTGGTGGGGAGAGCAGAGAGGTCCTACCTCACACACAGCAGTTCCTTCTGCCTGAGGAAATTTCCAGTGGATGCGTCAAGTCAGATCACGTAAAAGCTTTTGCAGCACAAACCCTAGCCTGTAAATCCCCTTCAGACTGTGGATTCTGATTCTACCTCATCCCCCAACTGCAAGCTATGGTTTGTCGATTTGGACGGTGCGCTACTTCATGGTTAACGCTTCCATATGCAGAATATAGCAGAATGCCTGAAAAGGGGCCTCAGGGTTAAGATTCCACATGAGCTTTTCACATGTATGACGATCTGTTATTTATTTTACATAATCTATACCCCGCCCAGGGCTCTTTTTGTAGAAAAAGCCCAGCAGGAACTCATTAGCATAACAGGCCACACCCAACAGCAGAAACCTATTAGCATATTAGGCCACACCCCTGACAGCACAGCTCATTACCACATTAGGCCGCACCCCCATGTTACCAGAAGTGTGGTCATCCAGCCACACCCACCTTTTGCTTGTTATTCTGTTTACCTTGCTTGTTGTCAAAACCCAGGGCCTTTTTTTGGAGCAGGAACTCCTTTGCGTGTTAGGCCACACACCCCTAATGTAGCCAATCCTAATGAGTTTCTGCTGTTGGGTGTGGCCTATTATGCTAATGAGTTCCTGCTGCGTGTGGCCAACTCGGGAGCCAGCCGGAACTCTGTTCCTGTGCGTTCCTGCCCCAAAATAGCCCTGACCCTGCCCTTTCTGCCCTCACAAGAGCCACCAAAGTGGCTAACAAATTAAAACATACAGAACATAATCAGACTTAAAAACCATTAACCCCCTCTTCCTAAAAAAACACACACACATCATTAAAACAATTAAAAACAGAGCTAAATATATACCGAAGGCAGAAAAGCAACAATTAAAACATTCGTTAGGAAGGAGGGATCACGGGGGAGGGGGAACAACACACGAAACAAAAAAGTTTTCATTCACTGGCAGAAGATGGCAACGGAAGGGCGAGACAACAATTAAGGTGAGAGAATTTTAAATCCCTTTCAAATCAGGGCTTGACCGTAACCCCCCTAAGGACATCTGGGCGAAATTTCAAGCGAAAAATAACAGGGCCTCTGTGCCTTTCGTAAGATTTCAGTCACCACACTGCTGGATGTAATTAAGTGGCAGAGGGAAACGTCAATAGTGGGTGATCAACAAACCTTAAGGCCAAACTAAGGCCAGGGCGTTTTCGGTGGCGGCTCCTACCTGGTGGAACGAGCTCCCGGAGGAGATCCGGGCCCTGCAGGACCTTGTACAGTTCCGCAGGGCCTGCAAGATGGAGCTCTTCCGCCAGGCCTTTGAGTAGGAGCCGCTGCCGCCACTATTCCACCACTGAAATTCCATCATCCATCTACCCCATTACTGGGGGGGGGGGGGAGATGTCGCCCGGCAGAGATGGGGAGAATATCATTCCTGGTGCTCATGCCATTAAAAAAGTCGGCCGCCAATGTGGAATGTCGCGCATCTTGGTGATTTTATGTAGATTACTAGAGCACCGATTTTATTATGTATGTAATATTGTTTTATTGTTTTAAATTTTAAATTCAGCATTGCCGCTTGTTAGCCGCCCTGAGCCGTTGGGTAGGGCGGGATATAAATCCCAAAATAAATAAATACAAAGATAAATAAATCAATTTCATTTTGAACTGTTCTCCAAGTAGGGTTGCCAAACTCCAAGTGGGGCCTGCAGATCTCCCGCTATTACAACCAATCTCCAGGCAATTGCGATCAGTTCCCTGGAAAAGATGGCTGCTTTGGAGGGTGGAACTGTATTCATTGTGGCCTGCTAAGATCCATCCCGTCCCCAAACCCTGCCCACCCCAGGCTGTACTCCCCAAATCTCAACCCTGAGCTGGCAACCCTATCTTCAAGTCGCCGGGATGGATGTCATTCCAAATGCCTCATCCGAGCCAAGGCAATTTCCAACAGTGAAAGAATGGGCTCTCCTAATGCACACTGTGTTCCCAGTGACGAGTGCCTCTTTAGGACCAGGGTGTGGAGCTCTAGAGGCCAAATGGATGTATCCACACGGGCACTGGCTTAAAATGGTGGCCGTTTGTGACACCCGATGGCCATGAGTGCTGGATCCTAAAGGCAGTAATATCAGGGAGCATCATAGTAGCAACAGCGATGAGGAGAGAGTCTGTGCCCAGTGAGAGGATGCTCCCAGGAAAATGAAACCACATTGGTAAAGAATGAGAGCCAGTGCCGCGTAGCCGTTAAGAGTGCTGGACTAGGATTTGGGAGAATACTCCCACTCGTGCCCTGGAAGCTCTCTGGGTCACCCTGAGCCAGTCACACACTCAGCCTAACCTACCTCACAGGGCTGTTGTGAGGATAACATGCAGGAGAGGAGAATGCTGTATGCCCCTTTGGGTCCCCACTGGGGAGGAAGGCAGGGTACAAATGAATGAATGACATGAATAAATAAATACATTTGAACAAGCGACACTCACCACAGCATGCTGGGAGAAGGGAGGGAAAATATATGATATTGTTAGAGTCCATGTTTCAGAGACAGACTGTAAATCTAAGCTATTCTGCAATCAAGTGTCTACACGCAGATCTGATTTGGTCAAAAAGACAGTCTCGACCGGAATTAACCCCCCCACACACACACACTAGGTACACTTGAAAATGCCTCTTAGGTCTCGGGCGCTAATGTTGCTTCCCGATTTGACTGCGTTATTATTTGCAGAACGGAAAGAGGGAACCCTAAGAAAAAGGCCGGAGGCTTTGTAGTGTGTCAGCAGGACGTGTTATCATTGGCTGACCTCCCAGTACAATTCGTGCCAAAATTAATCCAACTACGTCTGCAGAAAATGGCGTGCGGGCCAGCAGGAAAAGAGGACCTCTTTCCCAAGTGCCACAAATCAAGTTTTCTTATAATATAGTTGATAGTTTATAGAATTTAAGGAGTGTTTGGCTGACATCCAATAGCAGGCAGAGACATCTGTTACTTTCAAAACATACAGGATGACAACTAACTAATAACTCTGAGCTTGTGGACTAGGGGGCCAAGGCAGCAATATATTATAGATTCACATTCCTAGGACATGAAGATGCCATAAATGGGGCTATTTTGTTTTCTCCCCACAGCTGTATGTTAGGTTGATCGATAGTCCAAAAAAGCATTCAACAAATCACTTGGTATGAAATTATTTTTATAATATCAAAAATCCCTTTCCAATATACTAGAGCAAAAGTCCACAATTTACAAAACTGAATGTGGAACTTAATGGAAACGCTGTAAATACAATAAATCCATGGTGTTCCCTCAGGATACGCCTATGAGAAGAACGAGTCCAATCTGATTGAAGGTTTCAATAGCTTTCTTCATGCGACGGCTAGCTGCAAATGACTCCAAAAGCTGGGATTGTTGAGCTGTATGTCGGTTTAAAAATGCCTTGAGATTTTTGTGTGAAGAGATTGATTGTTTTGGTTCTGCTTCTGAAGAAGCTGAGGCGGAACACGATATATTTCAGCTTAGCAGTCACGTGAAGAAAGCTATTGAAACTTCAATCAGATTGGACTCGTTCTTCTCATAGGCGTATCCTGAGGGAACGCCACAGATTTATTGTATTGTTTCCATTAAGTTCCACATTCAGTTTTGTAAATTGTGGACTTTTGCACTAGGATACTGGAAAGGGATTTTCGATATTATAACAATTGTAACAATAATTTCATACAAAGTGATTGGTGGAATGTTTTTTTGAATATTATTTGAAATAACTTCTACAAAAGTTTTTGTTATTTTCCGATACTCTTTACCATGTATCTCCGGTTTTGTGTTTTGATTTTGTACTATGTTAGGTTGAAACACAGCAACAGTTCAAAGGTCACCCCAAGCTAGCTCTGTGGCCGTGTGACTGCTCTGCTGTATCTCGGCATAAGCTGAGATCATTCCACAACTTGGCAATGTAGGCCAGAATTTGGTGGGCCAAAACGATACGTCAAAAGAGGTTCCAAAATCAATACACTACCAACCGTACCCCTGAAATAGCAGTGTGATGGCTTCATAAAGTCACCAATAAGTCTGTCAACACTGGCTATCAATTCAAAAGACACACACTCTCAGACATACCCTCCATGGATCAGTCACCCACCTCCCAAATGCTTTATAAAATTCCTGATGTGTCAATGGCATTTGAATAAGCTACTAGCAGGCTATGGCGGAACTTTGTATTTCTATATTCTTATCCATCCAAGCTGGGAAATTTCTCAACTCCTCCACCCTAGACAGTTTGGGCATTCTTTAGTCAAGGGCCCTGCCCTTTTGACACCCAGCAGGAGAAATCTAAACAAGCATGCAAGACAGACATTCAATGGTGTGCTGGTTCATGCTACAAGAACCGAAGCCGATACTTACAACACATTTTCATGATGATATCTAAAATTTCACATTCCTGGGAGGGGGGGTGAAAGGAGGAAACATCAGTTTCATCTAAATCTTGGAAATGCAAGACCATTTTCTGTCTCTAATTAGCGGAGACCTTCACAACAGCCAGCCAGCCAGCCAGCCAGTTTCTGTTGACATTCTGCAAGCCGAATTCTGGAAGCTCACAGCATATAGCGAATAGGGTTTGCTTAAGTTGGAGGGCTACGAGGAACTGCAGAGCTGCTCGAACAATTGGGAACTCCTTCACCCTCCGTCCACTTCAACAACACAAGGCTCTCAGCTCTGCACTGAAGGAAGACCCTCATCATCCCACTCACTTTGCATGACACTGGGATCTCGGTGCACTTCTGCAACTCTGTTTTAACCCCAAATTCAAAGTTTTTCGAGCAGTTAGGGGCTCTGCCTAGGGTTGTCAGGCCATGTCGGGCAACAGGGGGGAGTCTGGGGGGGCAAGAACATCGGGGAGGGGGGCACTGCTGGTGCTGACATGATGTCAGGGAAAACCCAGAAGTGATGAGGAAGAAGAGATGGGATTTATGCCTCGCCCTTCACTACCCAAAGGCATCTCAGAGCGGCTTACAAACTCCTTTCCCTTCCCCTCCCCACAACAGACACCCTGTGAGGTGGGTGGGGCTGAGAGAGCACTGACAGAAACTGCTCTTTTTCAAGGACAGCGCTTATCAGAACTACGACTTGCCCAAGGTCATCCAGCCAGGCGCAAGTGGAGGAGTGGGGGAATCAAACCCGGTTCTCCCAGATTAGAGTCCGCGCACTGAACCACTACACCAAACTGGCTCCTGATGTCCTGATGTCATGCATCTCTTGGAATCGCCAAAAAACTCCAGTTTTACCAAAGAGTTTCCACTGATTCTTGAAGAGGACTGAGGTCACTTCTGGGTTTCCCCAGAACTGATGTCGTGCTGTTGCCAATGGTGATTTCCCCCCCAATTTCCCCCCCTCCCAGTGGCTGCTGGAGTACCAGGGGGTCAACAGCTACTGTGGGGTGGGAGATCTCCCATCCCCCTAGGGGGGGTATGGCCAATGTTCCTGCTAAGCTATGGAGTCCTGTGAGCAAAAATTCTCCTTTGTGAGCTTCTGGCATTAAGGTTGTGAGCGAGCAATTCGGCTACTGCATAAATTAGTCTGCTCTGGAGCCACCCTTCCTGAGCGAAGACAAAAATGTGTGAGCCAGAGGCTAAAAAACTGTGAGCTGGCTCACGCTAACTCAACTTTGAAGGAACACTGGATATGGCAACCATAGCTCTGCCCACTTCTCAGGTGATCTGAGTCTGGCGGATGTGGAGGGAGTGTCTCATGAATGAGCACAAACCATTACATTGTCTGTGGAAGGGACCATCTCACTGCCCTACTGAAAGGCGTGGGGCCATTTAGTATCTTGTTAAAAGGGAGTGGTAGATTTGCAAGGGCCCTTTTATGTGAGGGCAGCCAGCATCTGTACAGTTTATGAAAGATACAGGTAGCGTGCAAGGAAATCTACAGCAGTGGAGACCGCATTGTAATTTGTGACTTGATTTCAGAGTCCAGCAAGGACTCCCAGGGGCTGAGAACGGGTGCTTGTTCCTGGCTTGTTTGAAAAGATGAGACCTGGGTCTACCCAGAGTGTGAAGGCGGTCCCCTTTTCAGTTGATCCAGCATAACTGTTGACCTTCCACTGGTCTTAAGACAAAGATAAGCCTACAGGTGGCGGCGGCCCAAACCAGTCCTCTGGAAAGGAATTGGCAAGGAAGAGGACTAGGCCTACACATTGGCTACCTACCAATAAAAGAACGTGCAAGAATTTAAGGGACATTACATAGGATAGCCCTTTTTTTGCTTTTGGAAATCAGACTGTCAAAAAGGAGACTCAGTCCAAAATAGTATTGTTCTGATGACAGCTAAGTCAGGGAAGAAACTTGTCCTGGAATGGGTCTTCGTCAGATGAGCGACTGTTTATATAATACCACAGTGAACTTCTGTCCCGTTTTGCTCTGATGACTCCCCCACCCTCCCCAATGCTCCATTTTTAAAAAAGTTGTTTGGTGTAAGGATTTGTAGTATAAAGACGGACAAGCGGTTGACTTACATCTGGTCCCGGAGGGCCAGCAGGTCCCGGAGGTCCCTAGAAAACAAAAGATGTTGCGCATGAGAACCTTCAGTTATACTGGCAAATCCCAGAGAGGAAGCCATGTTGACTTATTGTGTGTGTGTGTGTGTGTGTGTGTGTGTGAAATATTTCCTGTGATGTCTTAAAGGCTCACGAAGTGTACTGTAGCCTGGGAAAGCACCATGAAAAAAAGTAGTAGTCTTCAAGGCAGCCAGTTCTCTTTAATACCAGAGCTGCTTACAGGGCTCCTGAGGAGAAGGTGTGTGAGGGAGTTCTAGGGAGTGCCCCACGGCGTTGGGGGATTGGCTTTGATACACTTTTCAGCTGGCCCTGAGTGGTGCGAGGAGGAAGTCCGGTAGGAAGAAACTCGTTTGTTTTGTTACTGGCTCGCATTGTTTTGACGAGGCAACGGGGCCCTAATCCAGTTAAACTGAGCCATGACGAATTCCCACTGAACACTATCGAATGTTGTCATTAATTTAAATCCCATTTGCTTTGGTTATTATTTCGCTGCATTGCGTCCGGAGTCTTTACTAATACCTGGGCATGGACTAGGGCTTAGAAAGTTAGCATCAGATAAACCCCCAGAAACACATTCCACTAAAACGACTGGTTCCCGAAGGCCCCAGATTTCAGGTCCACTGACCTGAATGACGGCGGCCAATGCTTTTATTTAAAACATTACTATCCTCCCCCAAAGAAAGAGAAACTCCTGTCCAGTTCATTAATTGATTCAGTCCTCACACAAACAATACTCTCCGTACTCCACAGTGATCTTATGCTATCAAGGAGCCAGGAAGATCGGAATCGTCGCCAACATAAATGGGGGTGCTGCCCATAAACCGGCCATGCCCTGACCTGGAAGGGCCCAGGCTAGCCTGATCTTGTCAGGTCTCGGAAGGTAAGTAGGTTCGGTCCTGGTTAGTACTTGGATGGGAGACCACCAAGGAAGTCCGGGGTTGCTCTGCAGAGGCAGGCGATGAAAACCATGGCCTTGAAAACCATACGGGGTCACCGTGAGTCAGCTGCAACTTGACGGCACTTTCCACCCTCCTAGCACTCCAAGGGCGATTTCTCACTAGAGCTGCCTCGCAGCACAGCGCCGTTTGCCCCAACACAAACATGTCAATTTCACACCCGAGGCTGCGGGGCTGCATTTGACTCGGGGCTTCGCCCGATTTCCTCCACAGTTTCATGATCCTCAAAAACCAGGATCACAAAACTGCGGAGGAAATCGGGCAAAGCCTGGAGTCAAAATGCAGCCCCGGAGCTTCGGGTGTGAAACTGACATGTTTGTGTCGAGGCAAACGGCGCTGTGCTGCGAGGCAGCTCTAGTGAGAAATCACCCCAAGTTATTGTCGTGCAGCATTATTTAAAAACGGAAATGTACCGCCAAGCATACGGGTGAGGGCAGGAGAATTTCCACCTAGACAGGTTTTCCTGCCTCTTCCTCCCCCTTCGCTTCCCCAGGGACAGTCTCATCATAGTGTTATTATGGGTCATCTGATAAACCGTACTTGTTTGGAATTTTTAAATTGGCATGTTTTAATTATGTTATGGTTTGTTTTTTACATAGTGTGACCTGCTCTGAGAGCGGGGCACGCATAGAAGAAATAAATAAATAAATATTTCCTCCCAAGGGGTGGAAAACATGGTGCTTGGGGGGGGGGGTTTAACAGTGGGAGGGCTTCTAA